CTACAAGTATTTGATGGTGTAAATTTTGTTACCTCTTGGAGTGGGAGCTTTATGCATCGGTCTAGCATAACTTGAATCAACAGCTCTTTCAATCGCGTGTGTATTGTCTTTGGGTTCATATGCGCTTTGGTTGCTTCTTTTAGGCTCCTTTTTACAAGATACAATCTAATTAGAAGATAAATTTCTTAAAATATAAAAGGAGCTAAATGATAGAAATAGCAATGTACTTTCTACTTTTTTCGTATTGTAGGATTGTTTAGTACTTTGAAATTATTTTTTATTAGAGAATACTACTTGGAAAAAACGTCACCACTATACAAGTTTTTATGCCATGTCATCGTCCACATCATGTGACACGTGTACAAGGAAAACTGAAAGTACATTGCTGTTTCTTGCATTTAAGGTAACTTACTTCTTCATGAACAGGTGTTAGTTGTGGATGCTTGACTTGCTCCCTATGTGTTCCGGAAGGTTCATCATCCGCCTTGAAACAACTACTCGTGTTAACATCTACTCTATTTTAGGAAATATAACTATTATTTTCTACTCATTTAATTTACTACTTCAATATTCACAAAAAATTTATAAACTCCTATATAAAAAAAGAAAAGAAAACCCAGACATGGGAGATATAAAAAGTGAGCATATTATCTAAAAAGACTACCTCAGATACGTTCTTCTCATCTGGGATGGTAGATCTTGATGAACATTTGTGTTCACCATTGCGAACCATCTGATACACAAAATTACAAAAATTAGTTTTACTTTTATTTTTTAACAATGTGAAAATCCAAATCCCATTAGTAAATGACGAAAATAACCTTCATGATATCTGGATCTTGCCATGGACCCTTATCAGAGCGCATGCAGCCACCTTTACTGGAACAGGTGCACGTGCCACCCAAAAAATCCGGGAGCTCACTAAATATACAAATAAAGAGAAGCAAAAATGATTTTTTTTTTTTTTTAACCACCATGTATAACAGTGTAAAAAGTCTAAATGACCATTTTACCCTTACATTCTAACTCATTCATTCCAGATTAAGACAAAAAGAAACAACCCATAAGTACCTTGCATCAATGATTTCCAGGAGCTTGCTTTGGAATTTGTTGCCCAAAACCTAGTCAAGATAACAAATAGTCAACAAATTTATTATTTAAAAAAAAAAAAAAAAAAAAAAAAGATGGTGTGAACTTACATTAATCTTAGCTGTAGTCTTTGGGTCAAGGAAGGATTTAACTGTGTTCCACAAAAGCCTAAAGCCAGAGCCGGCATTGATGATGTACATTCGGCAGAGAGTCTACAAGAATATAACATGTCACAAATTTCAAACATTTTCCAAATCAACCATTTTGACATAATACAACACGTCACAAAATAATATAATACTAGTTTTTTTTTTGCTATTTGCCCACATGAATATCAACATTTTTGACACAAGAGAAGTACCTCAGGATAGTTGTTACCATCAATGTTTTGGAGAGACTGTATAAGCTCCCTAGCAGATTTGTTCATGCTTTTCAACCCCTAGTTTTTTTAAAAAAAAACATGTTGACTTATTTCACAAGTTATCTCACATAATCAATAGATGCAATATAGGAAATTGAAATGAAAGATTAGGTGACTTACGACATTTTGTACATCAAGAATGGTGGTGCTTTGATCAACGTGCTTTTTTGCAGCGATTGAGCAAGCTGGGAACTTATCAACAAAAGTTCTTTCAAATTCCATCACGTGATACTTGATATAACGTTCAAGGGTTGTTGCTTGCATGAGTTTGGTAGCATCCACCATACCAAGTCTCTCAATATAGATAGGTCTTCCATCTTTATCAACCCCATGGTGTCCTTGAGGATAGTATTGAAGTACTTCTTCTTTTTCCTTGAATTCATATTCCTAAACAAAAGATTTTTCATTTTTGAGGGTTATAAACCAAAATCAAATGCTTTTAAACAACACTTATTGTGCCCAAAAATACCTCCATGATGGTGTCTGCGCCATACTCCTTTCTCCAAGTGATCATATCAGTCCACATTTTCTTGGCCTTGTCAAGCTCATAGTTTCTGGCCTTCAAAAACCTGAATAATCATGACATAAATTGAGAGTATGATCTATAATACTAGTTCATTAGTATTGAAAGCAAATTACACCAAATGTAGTTTACAAGGGATTTGGAGAAAAGTAAGCAACCTTAAAAGCATGTGGAATTCATCATGCTTTGCAGGTAACATATCTTCTTGGATCAAAGCTTGACGTAAAGCTTCAACTGCCTTCAAATCTTCTGCATCATGTTCATCTTCAACCACAACAGACATGACTTTACTGTTCCTCCTGCTTTTCTTGGAGAAAGAGGTCCTAAATTTGTTTGAGGCATTGATTGCCCTCTGTTTCAGAGAGTTACGCCTAGCCTTCTTATCCTCCTCTTCCAAGTCGATTTTTTCCATACCTGTACAAAATCTCCATCAGATAAATCTATCTGTTTTAATGGCGTCAAAAAAAAAAATCGAGATTCGTGTTGCATTTCGATGCTATTTGACTTGAAAAAAACCCCTGAATTAGACGTATATTGAGAAGAAGAAAAGGAAACGAGTTCATACTGGGTCGAACGGGGCGTTCAGGTCCGGACTCACTCATGATTTGCAGTTATGAATGTTTGTTAGCAGTGCCGAATCTTAACGCCCTTCTCAAATGCCTGCAGATTTTAGGGGGAAAAAGGATTATCGTACGAATTCAGCGAATGATTTCAACATAAAGTAGCTGCAAATGCTTACAAATTCCTTCACATAAACCCAACGTGAAATGTGATCGACAAATTCAGGTATAAACTAATCAGAAATTCCATAAATATCGGAAACATCATGTGAAAAAAAAACGCGATTAGTGATTTTCTCGAACGAATTACCAATCTATTCCGTTTTTTCATTCCATCGGTTAGCTAAACACATGCAGACAACACAAACGCATCCTACAATGCTTGAATCCCGAAGCTCATTGTAATTCGAGTTAGCAAAACGTGATGATTCAGTCAAATCAATTTAATCATTCTAAATCTTCTCTAGGTAACAACAATTATACAATTTTAATCAAACAAACACATTTACGAAGAAGAAACCCTAAGAACACGTGAAGCTATCAGAATGAAGAGCAGAAAACGAAGAAATGCAGAGAATGTATGAGAATTAAGGAAATTACCGACCAGCGACAAAAAAATGGCAGGATGTAAGGGAGGGAAGAAGGGCAGAATATTTTCTATAACCTCATCATCTCATCCCCCAGACTATATTTTTGGAAACCATGAATGGAGTCTTGAGAGAGAGAGAAAGAGAAGTTTGGGAAATGGCAGCCAGCCACCCTGTTTTTCATGTTATAAATGTGTCGGGTCTCGGCCTTCCATGAATATGGTTACCATTCAGAAAATGCCGCTATAATATACAAACACGCCATTATACATTATACATGTATATATACATAGGTACGTAAAAATATTCACAATTTAATAAATCTATTTATAACCGATACAAAGTGTATTATTGGATAACATGGATTGTCTTTAGTTGATCGAATCATTAGGGAACTTCTGCATGTGCAAATATTCAAATTCATTCTGTATTTATATATTTTAATATTTATATTGTTGGTCCTAGCCTCCTAGGCCCTAGGTATAATCAATAACGTATATAGATATCCTCACGACATAATTATACATCACAATGCAATAGAAATGGTGTCACACTTGTAGGTCCATATAAACGTTACATCACTTTTGTCACATTTGAGCTAAAATTTATTAAATATCTTGAAAATAAACATTTCAAACATATTATTTTTTTAAATCTAAAAATTCATTGAAATTAAAAAAAAAAAAAATACATCATACCAAAAATACCATCGAATATTCGAATACATCTCTCTCTCTCTCTCTCTCTCTCTCTCTCTCTCTCTCTTGCTTCTCTATTGATCCGCCGTTACCATCATCACCACCATCGGAAAACCCTCACCGCATTTGGACCTCACTAACACGAGCCCTCACCATCCTTCATTGGCACTCGGTGCTCTCTCTTTCCGTTGACCACCACCAAAAACTACCCACCACACCACCAAACTCTACAGAATATCCCTTATACATTTCTAATATGAACATATGTACAATGTTTGCAGGTATCTACATTGGGTTGAAGCAAACTATTCGAATGTTGGGCACTTGAAATCCAAGTATACAATAACCCCTCCATTTGGGCGTTCCTTGTTCATATTCGAAGTGCTAACTGAAATTGGTTAACATTTGTTTTCGGTTACTACAATTCCTTGTTACTAGGGCCATAAGACTTTGAATTATGTGAGTCGGGTAAATTAGCAGATTAGTAAATTAGTAGATTAGTAGAGATTATGTGAGTCAGGTAAATTAGTATATTAGTAAATCAGTAGATTAGTAGAGATTACAGATATTATAGAAGGACAAATTACAGGTTATGAAATTCCTAAGACTGGACGGAGTGGGGTGAGGGAAAGGTGAGGGAAGCTTCCCTCCCCTCTTGAACACCACTCCGTGGGTGAGGGAAAGCAATGCGGGAAAGGAGGTGGAGGGAGGGGGTGCCACACTCTCTCTCCTCTTCTCATTGGCCAAATATATTATTTTAATTTTTTTTTCTTTTTATCTTTTTTAATATTTATAAAATTATATACTTACTATAAAAATATAGAAAATATATCAAAATTCATGGTTTTTAATTCTCTACAAAATAAGTATAATATATGTATGAACTATATTTAAAAAAAAAAAAGTGAGGGTAGGACTTCCCACCCATTCCTTGGTTTTTTGGTGAGGGAAAGGAAAGTGAAGGAAAGAGGGATATACACCCTCCGGTCTAAATAGTCAAACGAAAACTAAAAACTTTTAGTGCTGAAACTGTAGATCCCATAATAGTCCAAGGGTCGATATGTAATTTACTATTAGTCTTCTTTGTGTTTTTTCCGCCCTTTCTCCCAATTCCCCCCTTTTCCCTCTCACACTCGCGGCTTTATAAATACCGCTTTTTTCCGCTGCTCGTTTTCCCACTTTTCCTTTTGCTAAATTTCGTCGCACTTGTCAAATACTGAAAGAGACTCTCACACACAAACACACTCTCATTTCGTCGCCGATTTCAACATAATTTCGTACATTTCACGCTTCGTTCCTCGATCGGTATTCCTTTCCTTTCGTTTCTTTGAATCTGTTCATTTAACCCATGTTAATTGCAGTATGTTTTTCTGGTAGCTGGTAATTTTTGACAAAATGCTGTGAATCTGGATGTTGTAATTTAGTGTGTAGCGGATTTTTGACAAGTATTACGATTGTAGAGAATTATCAGAGAATCACTTTAGTTTTGATACGCTTTGTAAAGTTTTTAAGCGCTGATTATTATAATGTTGTTGATAAGGTTTATGATTAGTTTAATTTGGAGGATGATTGAGTACTTATTTGCGTGTTAACTGAAGCATAACTTGATTTGGATAATGATGTGTTTTGTCTATATTTTTAATTTGGTGGTTGGGGTATTTTATTGTTTTTTTTTTCTTTCGTGTTGTATTTAGGGATTTAACTGTACAAATGGCATCCCCTTATACCTTCATCTAATCTCTGATGATATCTTCTCTTTCTAATTTATCTAGCATGAACCCTGTCTTATCTTCTGACAATTTACTTCATGGGCTATTTGGGAACTTTTCAAGTTAAATGCTATATATTGACCATCATCCTTACAGATTTATGAAATTAGTTCGGGTTCAGAGATTCCTTTGTTAGTGTCACGACATATTAACAAATCTTCAAACAATCATATCAAGTCCAACATTCCAAATTACATAGATTAGAGACATTAAGTATTCATTTTGCCTTAGTTGAAGTAAAAGAGCCTTCTTTTTATGGTGTCTGCAACTCTGCATACAAATACAATCATCCAGCTTTAGTAGCTTTTAAATGTTTGCATTCAGACTTTCTTTTCACTGATGAGTGATGATCATTAACTTTGTTTCAGACAATTCATGGCTTCTGAAACACTTGTGGGTGCATGCAATGGCAGTGTCTGTACACATCCAGACCCCCAAAGAAGTTACCAAGTTGTTGTTGCTGCCACACGTGCAATGGGTATTGGAAAAGATGGAAAATTACCATGGAGGCTACCTTCAGACCTCAAGTTTTTCAAAGAAATCACCATGACAACATCAGATCCAGTGAAAAAGAATGCTATTATAATGGGAAGAAAAACATGGGAAAGCATACCTTTAGAACATAGGCCACTCACTGGTCGCCTCAATGTTGTTTTAACTCGTTCAGGGAGTTTTGATATTGCAACTGCTGAAAATGTTTTAATGTGTGGAAGCATGATTTCAGCTTTGGAATTATTAGCTTCATCACCCTATTGTTTATCTATTGAAAGGGTGTTTGTGATTGGTGGTGGTGAAATCTTAAGGTATGTATGCAATCATTTATATTTAATAAAACATCTCATATAGATGACATTAAATTATTTAACTTTTGAAAAGGTTTATGATTTATGATAATAGGTTTTTGTAAAATAGTAGGAAAACCAATGTGGCAAAAGTAAAAAAAAAAAGCTCTTATTTTTTTTGGCTCCTTTGTATCTAATTTGTACTTGATTACAATCTTTATAATTGCAGGGAGTCACTGAATGCTCCTGGATGTGATGCAATCCATATAACTGAAATTGAAACAGACATTGATTGTGACACTTTCATACCATCTATCAACACTTCAGAATTCCAACCATGGTATTCGTCATTCCCACAACTCGAGAATGGAATCCGCCATTCCTTCACTACATATGTTCGTGTGAAAAGCTCTGGAATTGAAGACCCAAAGGTTAATGGTTCATTGTCTGAATGCCATTCCGAATCACCAAAATTTGATGCAAGAATGTTCTCTTTTTTGCCCAAAAAGATATTTGAAAAGCATCAAGAGTTTCTTTATTTGAAACTAGTGGAGGATATAATTTCTAATGGTGCTTTGAAGGGTGATCGTACAGGAACTGGTACTCTGTCAAAATTTGGTTGCCAGGTACTTTCAACCTCATATTTACCTTATTACCCTTCCCCTTTACCCCATTTTTAAAGTTATTTTTCTCTTTTTATTGCTTACAGATGCGGTTTAATCTGCGAAAGTCTTTTCCACTCCTTACAACCAAGGCATGTGCTTTTTTTTAACCTGTTCATGAAGATGGCAAAATGACTTATATACCCTTTATTTGGTTTTACAGAAAGTGTTTTGGCGTGGAGTTGTGGAGGAACTTTTGTGGTTCATAAGTGGGTCAACAAGTGCTAAGGTAAATCTTGAACCTATTTCACTTACCACATAAATAGTAAATGAATGTTGTAGTATTTGTCTTGGTTTTTAATAAATAATGAATGAAAATGTGTATTCTTTATTTGGATATAAGGTTTATTTTTCTCTTAGTTTATTTTATTTTATTTTATTTTTTATTTTATGGTTATAAGGTCTTGCAAGATAAGGGCATTCATATATGGGATGGTAATGCATCAAGAACCTACCTAGACAGGCAAGTCTTGGCATGAATTCTTATTACTATTATTATTATTTTAACATATATATATATATATATATATATATATATATATATATATATATATATGTATATGATTTTCATTTTTATATTTCATTCACACTTTCAGTATTGGCTTGGTGGATAGAGAAGAGGGTGACCTGGGTCCTGTTTATGGGTTCCAGTGGAGACATTTTGGTGCAAAGTAAGTTCTCTGTGCAAAAAAGACGTAAATGCCCTTCTCATTTTTTTTGGCATGTATTGGACTGGAACTGTTACTGATGTCAATCGACAAAAAGTAGCGTTTTTTGTCCCACCCTAAAAGTGGAACAGAGACTCTCTTAATCTCTTGTCTGTGAAAAAGACATAAATGCCCTTCTCATTTTATTGGCATGCGTTAGACTGAGACAGTTAGTGATGTCAACGGACACAAAGTACACTTTTTTGTCTCTCCTAGAAAGTGGGACAAAGACTAATTACTTGTGAGTGCAAAAGATGTAAATGCCCTTGGAAATGTAAATAAGTTAACTGATTACTTAAAAACATTTACAGGTATACAAATATGCATGCTGACTACAGTGGTCAAGGGTTTGACCAATTGCAAGATGTTATTGACAAAATTAAAAACAATCCAGATGATCGTCGTATACTTCTTTCAGCATGGAACCCTTCAGACCTCAAACAAATGGCACTTCCACCATGTCACATGTTTGCTCAGGTTCTTTCTTTATATTTCTAATTTATTTATATTTCCTTCACTAATCCCTAAATAACACATTATTATTATTCATTATTCTCTTTCTTTTTAATAGTTTTATGTAAATCAAGGAGAGTTATCTTGTCAAATGTATCAGCGATCAGCTGACATGGGCCTTGGTGTTCCATTTAACATAGCATCATACGCCTTGTTGACTTGCATGATTGCCCATGTTTGTGGTAAAACTCCATTAATTCAGATAATTTGTTTTAATAATTTTCTTTTTTGGTTTATTTGAATTTAAATATTTGGTTAATTACAGATCTTGTTCCTGCTGATTTTGTCCATGTTCTTGGTGATGCTCATGTCTATAGCACTCATGTCAGACCCTTGCAGGATCAGCTTCAAAAGCTCCCTAAACCTTTTCCTGTAATCATACATACTTTTTTTTTCTACTTAATGTAGAAAGAATGACTTAATATAACTTTTATGATATATTCATATGTTGTTTTTGATGTGTTTAAATGTTATAATTGCAGGTATTGAAGATTAATTCTGAGAAGAAGGATATAGATGGTTTTGTGGCTGATGATTTTAAACTTATAGGATATCATCCTCATCAGAAAATAGAAATGAAAATGGCAGTATAGATCTGATTTTGGTAAGCCCAAATATCATTATTAAATTACATTTTTCGTCCCTGTGTATAGCTGGTTTTTGCAATTTTGGTCCTTATTTTATTTGTAAACAACTTTTTGGGACTACAATTGAAACAATCAGTTATACTTGGGGACCAAAAAAGTAATTTGCACTTAATATTGTTAAATGATGGTTTTAAATTAGAAATGTTACATGCAGGGGGCAATGGGTGTCGTGTTTTTATGTAACGACGTGGATAATGATATTATTATTATTATATTATATAGTTATTGGGAATCCCTTAGTTCCACATATCGGTTAAAGGTGATCTGGGTATGTAGTTATGTTTTAGCTGATTGATGAGGATTTTGTTAAAACAAGAGCCTGTTATGACTTGTGCGAGTTGTACCTTATGCTTGGGTTATTGTACCTTGTAGCCTTGTTAGTATCAGTGCAAAAACTAAGACTATATATACTTAATGAGATTCTAGGTATTGGTATTATATGCTTGGTGCATGTTTGTTTCATGGGTGCTTGGTTGAAGGAGAGAACAAAATAGAATTATCATATTTTAGTATTTTATAGCAGTTGTATTACGTTGTTTTTTTTTTTTTTTTTTTTTTTTTTTTTTTTTTTTGGAAATGAAACTTTCCTAGTAAGAGATTCTAGGATAAGGCTATGTTTGGTGCGTTACAGTTAGCTGATAAGTTAGTTTATTTTTTGAGCTTTTTTATGTTGTGTGTTTGGCAAACTAAAAAATAGTTTATAAGCTAACTTTTTGAAAAGCTATAGTTTTTTAGAAGTTTTTAATTTTTTTTTTTCAAATATACCTTTTAATTAATGGTAGAAACAAATATTTTTAAATGTTTTTTTATATAATTTTATATATTTCAGCTAATTTTTCAGTTAGTTTTACAAACATCATTTTTTATCAATTAATTTTTTAGTTATTAGCTAGTTTTTTATTTAACATTTAGCTTTTCAGCTAGTATGCCAAATATAACATAACTTTTGTGTACCTACTAATCCCCGTTACAAATATAAGGGTACCTACTAGTATTCCAAACATAACATAATTTTACAAACATAACATAATTTTTCAGCTAGTATGCCAAACATAACATAACTTTTGTGTACCTATTAATCCCCGTTACAAATATAAGGTAATATCTTATGACCTCGAGTTATTGAAAATGAACTAAATGGCCATAGGGTGCTTAGTGTCATGATTTGAACATGCAAATCATGTTAAGGAGTTAATTGGTTACCATACGATTTTCCATGTTTTATCAAGTTATCACAATCAAAATAATTTAGTTACATTAAGATCGACAACCATAACTAAAGGTAGACAACACCATGATTTATAGACATGATCTTATTTTCATCCCACATTGATAGCTACATGGTTTGGTTTGTGCGTTCTTCTTGAAAGAATATGTAACAATGAAATTTTTCAAAACAAATTTTCATTTCTTAAAAACATATTTTCATCCAAATCCAACCATAAAAATCCCATATATCATAATCATAATACAAAACATGTCAAATACCAAGATCAAATAAATCCAAATCCGATTGCGTGTGTGTGTACGAGTCATGCCGGCGCCTTCCTACAGTCCTCGCTAGTACCTGAAACACATAACACAACAACTGTATGCATAAATGCTTAGTGAGTTCCCCAATATACCACTTACACACATACGCCCTTCCGGGCCATGACCTTCCGGTCCATGTGTCTCAGGGGACTTCCGTCCCGACCTGGTAAACCTTCCGGTTCCACCCGTGTCGACCTTCCGATCTACATCATAATGCCTTCCGGCCCAAATCAAGCATAACATACATATCGCATACAAACAAGCAACTCATAATATACAGTGCATATATCTTATAGCATACCAGACCTTCCGGTCACACATAGGTACCCTTCCAGGTACAGTATAGTGAGAAGACTCACCTCGTATGATGTTTAAGTCTCACGTGCTCGATATCTTTGAATCTCGTAACCTCGACCTAGCCTCGCCTAATCATATCAAATAATCATTCCAAATCATTAACGGCTCTCAAGGCTATACTATATTCCTTCTAAAATTCCACATAAGTGTAAAAGACCATTTTACGCCTCCCTATCCCAAAAGTCCACATGTTGACTAAAACCCTAAAAGTCAACAACAAGCAGTACGCGGGGCGTACCAGCTCCTGTACGTGGGGCGTACTCTTACCTTCCAGAAACGGGGTACGCAACCCCTTACGCGGCGCGTACTGGGATTACGCCCAGCGTAATGCCCAATTTCTTTGTTTAGCATATTCAGGTCTTAAACGGTTAAGACTTGCATCCAAACTTTAGATTTGACCCCTCTAATACGTCTTATACCATAAAATTGGAACCTTTAAGCCTTTGCATGGCTGTAAAGATCACTTTGTGCTCAAAACACATTTCCTCTTTCCATAATGAGACTATAACTCATGCATGCCACAAGATCCACGTCCAAGACTCGATTTTTATGACTCCTCAACACATTTTACACTAGAAAAGGTCAGATCTAAGCTTATGGAGACTCTTTGCACATAAAGTCTCCAACTTTGAACCAAAACCCTAACAAATGGTCCAACAAGCAAAGCTTACGAAGAACAAGGAAAGCTTTAAGCTTTTTACCTCAGGAAGGATCTCCAACCACTGTAGAACTCGGATCTATACTCGTCCTTCAACTTCTAGCTCCAATAATGGCTCCCTCTTATCCTTCTTCACCTTGAAAAGACAATTTCAAGCTCAAAAACTCACACACAAGCTAAAACACGAATCTCATCTCTCTAAGGGTTCTCTCAAGGGTGTATGGTGGCCAGGGCAAGGGACTACATGTTCCTTTTATAATGCAAGGCCACAATTTAGGGTTTTACATTTGGGTCAGTTACGCCCGGCGTAACCTTGGGTACGCCCAGCGTACCCGGATGAACACGCGTATGAATTAAGCGCATGAGTACGCGCGGCGTACGCCCATCGTACTCATCAAATTATCTTTTCAACTTCAAGTGACTAAATTGCCAACTCTCCAAAATAGAAGGGTCATAAAGCTAACTTGGAATTCGGGCTCTTACAGACTACTTGTATTTTTTATGATGTGAACTCCACATCCTACTGTTTCTAGACCAATGTCATCCCCAATACGTAGTACATGGTGGAAAACTATAATTCACATTTCACCCATACTTTTTCGTAACTATAGATAAACAAATACTTTTACATTTATATTTAAAAATCAATTTTGTTATGGTATTATAATATGATTTTATCCATTAATATATTTATATATTTTTTTTATCTTGTTTGAATTAATCTTTCGTGATAATTTTGATCGGCTTCATATAAGATTATTGTATTGGTTTTAATAAGCGTACATTGCTATAAAATGGTTTTAAAACAATAAATTAGGCGAAATTAAAACGTAAAGTGATTTTAATAGACAAAAAAATATATTGGATTTTTATGAACTTTTCAATTATAAAGTTATTAAAGTATCAAAACCAAAATTATCAAACTCAAATATTAAAAATAAAGTGTCGCTCCAACAATAATACTGTAGATCCACCGAGTAAAAAGTACAAATAATTTCTCCTGATTATTAAAAGGGATAATGACTTGAAAGGGTAACGAACTTTCGACTTTTGTCACATTTAGTCACTAAACTTTTTTTCGTTATCGCCGGCCATAAGGGTAAAATGTGAACAGTTTCAATAGTTTAGTGACAAATAGATAACGAAGAAAAGTTTAGTGATTAAATGTGAATAAAATCGAAAGTTCGTTTCCCTCAAAAAAATTCAATGACTAAATGTGAACAAACTTCCTATTGTATTATGTTTTAGCAAAATTATTTATTTTTGTTTAATTGTAGCAACATTTGTTGATGAAGAAATCTATGAAATAAAAAAACAAAATGTAACATCCGGATTTCCAGGTATCATAATTTAAGTATTTTTATTTTGAGTTAAGAAGAGAGAATCGACGAGTTGACGCCTCAACTCGTCGAGTAAGGTCGCGACTGATGACTCGGATTAATGAATGGACCCGACGAGTCGGTGAGGCGACTCGACGAGTCCGCGCTGTTGGCAGAAACCCTAAATCTTTGGGCCCGAGCCATATTTAAAGGCACTTATGGCCTTCAATTGCGACTACCTTTCTCATAAGCGAGAACCCTAGCGAGCTTGAGTGTGTAGAGTCAGAGGAAGAGCTATCTTGAGCTTTTTGGTGTGATAGATCTGGACCCTTCTAGGTACAGAGAGCTGATAATATGAAGCTTTAGTAGAGTAAACCTTGGGGTTCGAAGTTAGGAAGCATAACCTTAACCAACAATGTGATGAAATAAAATGATGAGAGATAGGTGATGATAGAAAGGTGATGATAATTATGTAAATAGATGATGATGAAGATGTGATGTAGGATGAAAGAAGATACATTAACCTTAACCAGCAATGTGGCGATGTAGTCATCTACCATAGTATAGATGGCGACCACGGACTATTCTAGACAACTCAGTGGAAACACCAGTAGGCCCATAACCTGTAGGTGATGAATTACGATTTCAGGTGATGTTGTAACTACGTATTCATGCGATGATACTCTAACCCATATGAGTTCAGACGATGTTGTAACTACATATTCATGGGATGTCACAAATTTCACATGCCAAACCAATGGTCATAATTCACATCAGTGAGAATGATTCATTTTTTTGTAAAACCAAAATCAGATTGGAAATTTTGATTTTTTATTTTGGAAAATGTCAAACCATTGGTTTTTTGTTTTTTTTTTTAAAATATATTTTCAGGGTTTTTTTTTTTTTTCCATAGATTTCTTCATCAACAAATGTTGCTACAATTTAACAAAAATAAATAATTTGCTAAAACATAATACAAGAGGAAGTTTGTTCACATTTAGTCATTGAACTTTTTAGAGGGAAACGAACTTTCGATTTTGTTCATATTTAATCATTAGACTTTTTTTCGTTATCTATTTGCCATTGAACTATTGAAACCGTTCACATTTTAACCTTATGACCGGTCATAAGGGTAAAATGTGAACAGTTTTAATAGTTCAATGGCAAATAGATAAATAAAAAAAGTTTAGTGACTAAATGTGATAAAAATCGAAAGTTCGTTACCCTTTCAAGTCATTATCTCTTATTAAAACTATAGTTAAATAATTAAAATTTTAATATTATATTAAAGATAAAGAGTAAATGATAAAAAATCCATTGTGCTTTAACATATTTTCAAAAAGTTTTATTTATTTATTTATTTTTTTATCAATAAAGCCATCAATGATTTTTATTTTTGTAGTTTTGTTAAAATAACAAGTTTCTGTGTTTACAACATGTAACCTCTTGCTCGAGTTGTTTGATAAATAACTGTTTAACTTATTATCAACATAAATATTTTTTTAAAACATAAAAAATGATGAAAAACTGATAAGTGTCATTTTCGTAAAGCATTTAAAAAGAAAATATAAATTATGAGAAAATGACAAGTGAGACTAAAAATTATTATTTTTATTA